CAAATTAGGAACACTCACTCTATGCATGTTGTGTTCTCTCTCTAGATAAAGAAAAGAATTTTCTTAGTATGTATGTTCGTTTGTTGATATTTGTCTATTGTAGGAATGAACATAAGCCTTTTCAAAACGTCATATGCACGTGCATATGTTGTGGCCGATTTGGAAACTTGGTCCGTGTATAAAATGGCCGGCCAATTTATAAATAGACCCGGTCTCATTGCCTGTTTGTAAATTGGCCAAAATGTTCTTGGCCAATATGCAAATGGACCAGCCAGTATGAAATGGACCGGTCAATATACAAAGTGGCCAGAAATAGTTGGCCCACAACTTTCAATAATGGCCAGCCTTTTTTGAAAATTAAACAAAATCGCTTTCAGTAATAATTAAAAAGATTAATGAAAAATATTAAAGATCTTTTATTCAGTCCTGTAGATAGAAAATGTATGTTATTTAATTTCAATTTTTAGTATCACAACTAATATTTTTACAAGAAATATTAATATGACAATATATGACGAATTACAAATTTGTTTATTGTTGTCTAATTAAAACAGAGCTTTGCGATTGGCCGAAAAACTTGGCGTTGAGGGAAAGTGATTTCTGCCTAGTGTTCTGATGTTAATGTGAAGAAATTCAACTGAGCGCGGGTAAACGGCGGAATTAACTATGACTCGCTTCTGGTAACCAAATGCCTGGTCATCTAATTAGTGACGCGCATGAATGAATTAACGAGATTCACACCGTCCCTGTCAACTATTTAGCGAAACTACAGCCCAGGGAACAGGCTTGGATATTATAGCGGGGAAAGAAGACCCTGTTGAGCTTGACTCCAATCTGTTTATCAAAAGAGAATTGAAATCGAAATGAGATTTTGAGTGTAATACTTCAATTTAGTCGAAAGAGAACAAATGCCTAGAATCGATTGTAAACGACTTTCTTCAGTAACAGAGTATTGTAATTCGTGGAGCAGCCGTCACACTGCGACCGATTAAAATTCTGCTCGATGTTATGCTGATTCGATACGCTTCAGTCGTATATGATATTTGTACTTTGTAACACAGAGTATGTAAATATTCAATTGTGTTACTGGTCTAGTGTGGTATAGAATTCTTTTACTAAAAATATCTTATGTTAATTCTTAAATAGAAGATATTAAATAAAAGTAAAACATTGTTGAAAACGCAAATTGTAAGCCTTGTGTTCCATGGGAAACAAAGCCAAGTAACTTGAGATCTTTTATGGGAAAAATCAACGCTCAGGGTGGTGGTGATTATGAAGAAGCGATTGAAATTGGATTGTGGCATCCAGTTCAGCAAAGTGCCCCATCAGATGGAATTTCCCAGGTCATTCTGATAGGAGATGCACCAGCAAAAGATAGTGTGGCAATCAATCGAGATAGGGCAGCTTCTGGTGGCGAATCATATTGGGCTAAAACTAAATATAAAGATCCAACTCATTTTGCGAAAGAATTACAGAAATTGAAAGAGAAAAGCATTTCTGTTCACGCTTTTTATCTCCATGAGGGTGCAAAAGTCAGTTTTCAACCTATTGCGAGTGAGACGCGAGGACGCTGTGAGCCGCTGAATATTCAATCGCCGCAAGGTGCTGAATCGCTGACCAGCTTTGTTACAGAAGAAGTTCTTCGAAAAACAGCTGG